CTGCATGGTTTGGCGGCATGCTTGATAGAATCAGGGAGCGGGTGGACAGTGGTCAACTCAGCAGCCCTCCTCTGAAGGTGTTTGACATGGAAGATCCCGTTGAAGGGGGCGTAGCTGCCTTCCGGTTCCTGCAGAGAGCCCAACACATTGGAAAGGTCGTTGTCAAGTTTGCTAGCTCAATTGAGCCAGTGGAAGATGGCGCTATTGTTATAACGGGTGGCCTTGGTGCGCTGGGGCTAGTTGTTGCAGGGTGGCTTGCCGAAGAAGGAGCCCGAAACATAGTCTTGATAGCCCGCCGCGATTCTCCTCCCCCATCAGGCAACGTGCCAGAATGGGACTGGCTATCGAATATAAACTGCAAAGTCAGTTTTTTCTCGTGCGATGTCTCGAACTACGAGAGCGTGCGCGGCGTTTTCAAGAAAATACAGAAGACTGTGGCTCCAATAAAAGGGATCTTCCATGCAGCTGGAGCCCTTGCAGATTCTCTGCTGGACAGCCAGTCTCTAGAAGGGCTCCGTCGTGTTTACAATGGCAAGGTTGTAGGTGCATGGAACATCCATCGAGTCTGTGAGGAGCAGGGCATCGACAAAGATCTTCAGTTCTTTGTGCTGTTTTCTTCAATATCTTCTCTCATTGGAAATGTCGCGCAGGCCAACTACGCCTCAGCCAATGCGTGTCTCGATGCATTGGCACGGTGGCGCAGAAGGAAAGGGCTTTGCTGTCAGTCGATTCAGTGGGGCCCATGGATTGAGCAGGGCATGGCCGCGGAGATGAGGCAACAGCTGGCAAGAAATGGCATGAAAGGAATCACAAACGAGCTTGGATTTAGAACGCTTCACGATGTTCTTCTCCACCCAGAGTGTCCCCCTGTTTTGGCTTGTCAGGCATTCAAGTGGAGAGCGTTCTTTATTCGCTATGTCACTGTCCCNTTGCCAGAGTCATCTGGGATGACTATGAAGCATCTCTCTCCAGCGGAGAGGAAAGAGTTCATCAAAGCTCAAGTGGCGGCAGCGGCACGCCAGGTCCTCGGCAGCAGCTCCGCCCCCTCCTTCGACAAGCCTTTGCAGGACCTCGGAGTGGACTCACTTGGTGCTGTTGAGTTCCGTAACCTCCTCTCCAAGAAGTTGGGCATGAAACTCTCCGCAACTACCCTATTCGACTACCCAACATTGAACGCAATCACTGAATACGTCTTCGAAGCAACAGGGGAAGATAAGGGACCAGCTGATGGTAGCGCCGGCCTTCAGCTAGGGCGGGTTGCTGTTGTGCATGACGGCCTGGCTGTTGTAGCCGCGGCCTGCCGGCTTCCTGGACGCTCTGACTCACCAGACGCCATGTGGCAGATGTTGCTAGACCGCACAGACTGCATGATGGATATCCCGCTTAGCAGGTGGAGTGTATACGAAATGTACAACGACGACTTCGATTTCCCTGGAAAGGCCTACGTCAAGCGTGCGGCCTTTATTGACAATGTAGAGTATTTCGACAATGGCTTGTTCAATATCACCCCTCCAGAAGTAAAGGCAATGGACCCACAGCAACGAATCCTGCTTGAAGTTTCCTATGAAACNGTTTGCAACCACGATTGGGTCTACCTGATGTCTGACGACACGATTTCTTCTTACTCTGGTACTGGGTCTGCTGGATGCATCATTGCAAACCGCTTGTCGTATGTGTACGGATTGAAGGGCCCTTCGGTAGCTGTTGACACAGCCTGCTCCTCCTCCCTGGTTGCAGTGGATGTCGCTTTTGAAAAGGTTATCCGCGGGGACTGCAAATATGCTCTGGTCGCTGGAGCCAACTTGATGCTGACGCCGCATTTGTTCATCGCATTTTGCAAGGCAAGGATGCTGTCTCCTGATGGAAAGTGCAAAACATTCGATGCCTCTGCAGATGGATACGCCCGAGGTGAAGGTGTGGCAGCGGCTATGCTTGTCCCTCTAAATGAAGCGCAGGAAGCAAAGATGGAAGTCTTGGCTGTTATTCGAAGTACTGCGTGTAACCATGTCGGCCGCAGTGCCAGTCTTATTGCACCAAATGGCCCAAGCCAAGCGGATGTCGTTCGTTCAGCAATTGCCAGAGCAGGTATTAAGCCAGACGATATCGCGTATGTAGAGACTCATGGTACTGGCACAGCGCTTGGAGATCCAATCGAGGTGCATGCTTTGAAGAGTGTATTCGCTAATGGGAGACCCAAAGATGCTCCGCTTGTTCTAGGCGCTGTAAAGACCAATATCGGACACCTCGAGGGATCATCAGGCATTGCAGGGTTGATTAAGGCGGTACTTGTATTGCAAAACAGGACCGTTCCTCCTAACATCCACTTTAAGAAGCTGAACGAACACATAAACGTTTCCGACTTCCCTGTTCAGTTCCCCACCGATGCAGTTCAGCTNGCCAATGCTCACGTAGTTCTTGAAGAGGTGCCTGCCAGTCTTCGATCTGTCAGACGACCTGTCAGCAGACAGAAGATCTGCTTCATGTTTACTGGACAGGGGTCGCAGTACGTAAACATGGGGAAGGTCTTGTATGAGGAACAAGAGGTATTCCGCTCGAGCTTGATCAAGGCGAATGAAATCATAGTCGGAATTTTGGGCATTTCCATAATAGACATCCTCTATCCATCCCCGCAAAAGGAAAGTGAGGCAAAGGGGCTTCTTGCAGGCAGCACCATTTCTCAATTGGCTTTGTTCGCATTTGAATATGCACTAGCTGAGCTGTGGATGTCGAAGAATGTCTTCCCTGACATGGTCCTGGGACATAGTCTCGGCGAATACGTTGCAGCCTGCGTGGCAGGCGTTTTCACTCTTGAAGACGCCCTTCAACTGGTAGCAGCTCGCGCCAAGATAATGGGGGACACACCTTCAAATGATGGAGTCATGGCTGCAGTCCGTGCCACAGAAGAACAGGGTGAAAAGGCGATTGCCACCTTCTATGGGGAGAAGCCAAGACAGGCGTCAGTTGCGGTTGTCAACGGCTTGAAAAGCATTGTGCTTGCTGGTCCACGAAAGGATGTGCAAGCGATACTAGAACAAATGGAAGCTTCCTCCAGGGCAAAATTTCTGGAGGTATCTCACGCGTTTCACTCCCCCTTGGTTGAGGCAACGTGCTCGCCGTTCAAGAAGGTGGTGGAGCAAGTTCACCTAAATGCTCCACACATTGAGATGATTTCAACAGTCACGGGTCAGTTGTGTGATGAGGCACTTAGGCGACCCGATTACTGGGCTGAGCACATAATCAAGAAAGTTCGGTTTTGCGATGCCGTCCAACAGTGTGTGGCAAACGGAGCAACGTTGCTGGTAGAAATCGGGCCACGTCCCACCCTTACTTCTATGGGAAGGGGCTGCCTGAAAGATCATGCGGATAGTGCTCTTCAGTGGATTAACATGGTGGATGCAGAAGGCGTCAAGCTGGAAACGATTGAGGCGGTTGCTGCTGCTGCAGGTAAGCGAAAAAACAGGCGTGTATCGAAATTCGTGCAGTTAGCTGTTTTTTGCATGTAGCAAAACGTTTGCCAAGAGTGTGCATGTAAATGTGATGTGCAGCAAGGGGTGCTACACCGGCGCCAGTCGTCTTCAACAGGAAGTATTTCCCATGGACAGATATATGCCATCCATTGCTAGGTCGCAAGGAAGCCCGCGAAGACGGCCGCGTGGACTTTGTAGGCGGCCTAGGCGAAGAGGCGGAGATGCTGTTTTCTGATCATGTAGTCAAGGCCCAGGCGATGCTGCCTGCAACATCTATGTTGGAGCTCATGGCAGTTGCCTCCAGGGAGGTCTTAGATAAGGGAGCAGCGGCGAGCCCGCCGTGCTTGTCCCAGCTCGTCTTTGAGAAGCCGCTCATCTTCCAGCCAGGCTCAAAAGTATCGATATCTGTTTCTGTCGATTCATATGGCCAGGTTCGCTTGATGAGCACGTCAGAAATCGATGAAGGAGAGGAGCGAATTCACGCGCATGCTCAAATTCTTACGAGTGCAATTGAGCTACCAGATGTCGACACCCAAGCCATTCTCAAAGCGTGTCCTGACGAGGTTGATATGGCTGCGGCCTACGCGGAGTTGCACAAGATTGGCTTGTCCTATGGTCCACGATTTCGTACTGTCAAACGTGCTTTCAAGGGCGAAAATGTTGTTGTTGGTCTACTGCAAGCTGTGAGCCCCAAAACGTTCGAACGTGGATTTCGAATGCATCCCGCTGTTATGGACGGCGCCCTACAGCTATCAGCCATTTTACTATCAGAGGAAGGGCAGCGTAGGGCTATGATTCCATTTTCCATTGAATCGGTCACCATGCTAAGCACTAGCCCAGACAAGGAAGTATGGGCTAGGGTTTCACTTCTGTCACGGACTTCAACGGCAGCAACCGTCGACGTCCAGCTTTTTACAGCCGATGGCAAGGTAATGGCTGATTTCGGCGGGGTCACTTTCCGACAGATTGATATGGAGCCATCTGCTGCGGTTCCCCGCGATCTCTTGTGGTACACCGAGTGGATCCCGGTCTCGAAGCTGGAGGCGCAAACTACAGCAGAAACTGAAAGCGATAGTATTGGGCAACTGTCGCCACTTAGCAACAAAGCACNAATCCTCAGTCAGACGATATTGAACCTTGTTCTACGGACACGTGCAGCACAGCAGAACCAACAAGGCCAACGATCATATTCATTGACTGCACTGGAAGCCACGAGGCCCTACGCAGCGACTTCTCCGACAGTGAAGAGACCACTGTTGTATGGCTCACCCAACCCACAGCTGAGACAGTAGCTAACACCCTGACAGTGCCCGATTCATCTTCAGCCGTCATGTCGGAGAAAATGCTATTTGTCCTCGCACTCGCATCGACCGCGAGTCCTCAGGAAACTCTTTCTTCAGTTCTGGAAATAACTAAAGTCATGGCTGCCCAGAAGGCAGCCCAGTTTTACCCCATGTGGATTCTTACGTGCGGGACCCAAGGGCCAACATACGACTGCGTGCATCCCCAGAACGCGGGAATATGGGGTCTTGTCCGTTCTGTACGCCTGGAGTTGGACGCTAGTGGGGTCTCGCACTTTATTGGGTGCGCAGACATTGAAGAGGGAGTTGAAATTACTAGGGCAGTTAATGAAATCATGGATCAGCATCTTGTTCATCCGCAAGAGTCAGAGATGCTAGTCCGTTCTGCAGACCTGGGTTCTGGTCTTCAAGTCCTTTTCCCTAGGCTTAGCCGCTCTGGATTAGTCGTCCGTGGTCCACTAGAACTGTATCTGCCTGACCGTGGAGCAGTGACAAACTTGGCACTTCGCCCACAAGCACCTGTGCAGCCTGGTTCCCTTGAAGCTGGCCAGTGCCGTATTCGTGTACGGGCAGTCGGACTAAATTTCCGAGATGTATTAAATGTAATGGGTCTTTATCCGGGGGATCCGGGACAACCCGGCGCTGACTGCGCAGGTACGGTGGTTGCAGTTGGAAACGACGTCGCCGGCCTGAAGATAGGCGATAGCGTATATGGTATTGCCCAAGGTTGTCTGAAAACTTTCGTCACAGCTTCTTGCCACTTGTTGAGACCGATGCCTTCCACCTGCTCTTTTGAAGAAGCAGCTGCATTGCC